TGATCAAATGAATAGGAAGATGGTGGAAAATTTAATTTTAGTGGTCACTGGGACATAAAACTGCATGTGCAGACTTCACAGGTCAAGCTTGAACTGCTTAAAAGTTATTGCAATTTGGGCACAAAATAACCATTTTAGAGTCACATTCCTTACAAAGGTTATACTTCAAAAAAACATGCAACATTGCATTCCCTCAGAGAGCCAGCATGATCCATGTCTGTGGCTCTCCCAGCAGAGCACTGAACAAACTCCATGCTAATATCACAATGTGGACAGCAGATAGCTAAACATGTTTGATTTTGCAAATCTTTTATGCCGAAAGCTCAGTTAGACACTTTGCTGTTAGGCCACTACACTATGAGATAGATAAATAACTGCATAGTTGAAATGAATGAAAAGCATTTCAACTATGTATTCAGCCAGTAAAATGACTGGCTTATATGTGTTGCACATTGGCTGCTGTAAAGCAAATGATTGCTTTAGAAAACCATTTTTCATATAATGAAATTCTCACATGGATTGCTATGACACTTAAATTATTACTTGAGTGTCATAGCTCTGCTTTGTAATTGCTCATACTGTTATTGCTTTTTAAAGCAATAAGGCCATGAATCTGTTTTGCTTAAAAAAGAAGTTTAAGTGAAGAGCTAATACTGCCTGTGTCATTGTTTAGGGCAGTAATAGAGGCCTTTGTGGCATGCTGATCTCTGTCTGTAGCTTCCCAGACTGCTGCCCCAGAAAGAAGATCAGTCAGCACACAGCTATCAATGAAAACCCGGCAGATTTCCCTCCGCAGTACAGGTCTGTGGCCCTTCAGATGATCAAGTCATGCAAAAAAAAAAAAAAAATCCTTTTTTGCTTCCACTATAATGGCATATATGTGGAGGATCCTGTCAGGGTTACTTGTTCCTTGTATTTGCACTTAAGCTACACAGGCACAAGTTCACAGCACAGATTGTTGGTGTTTGCACCGTCACCTTTCCCTTGGACAGCCCCATGGTGTTCCTACAACCAACATTAGTAAAGCGATCATCTAAGAGTCCTCGACTCAGCCTCGAGGAGGACCCTTAAAAATGCACCTTCGTCGAAGGCGGTTTGTAAAGAAGAAGAAGATTTAGCGTGATTGAGGACGGCATTTTCATAGAGGGGAGTTAATGAATAACACGCCAACACTATGTACTACAAAATCAATTCTCAAGTGAAAGGCAAGAAATTGGCCCTCAGTTATGAATAATGTGCACAGAAATGATCTTTTCTGTGGATAACTCTAGCATTCAGCTGCTGCGTCAAGATGTTAACAGTTGACACTTATAATGGTTTTCTACTACGAAAAGCAGTGTATGTTTTCATATCCTACAATCACCAGAAAAGAGAAAGTATTCTTAAAGCACAGAGTGTCGTGAAGCAGGGCGTGAGCCACTCACAAACCGTTAACAATGTAAAACTCCAATTAACTGTAATTGAGGCAGCTAAATCTCTGTCTCTTCAATACATCAAAGAAGGGGTGTTTCTGCACCACATGTTTAATGAGGTTTTAAGTCGTCTTTCACACATTATTCTATGGTGTCTTTGTGATTGCAATGTTTCACTTCTACAAAACGCCTCGTTTTAACGTTTACAAAACCACTAAGAGAAACTAACCAATGCCTACTCTCAAAATCCTGAAAAACTGAGGTAGACTACAGCTTGGTGGAGATTGTTGTATTTACTGCTTGGCACAGTTCGTTTGAAGTACTTGGTTTCCAACTTGTAAAAAATGGTACCGTGCAGGTCTTCATGAAAACTGATTTAGCTGTTGGCTGCTCAGCTGTCAGGAGCCTTTGTCAGCATATGACAGCTCCAGTTATATAGGTTGCAATATGATGTGTAGAGGTGCTTATATTTCTTTTTTTATGGAAATTATAAAAACACATACTGTTTTAATAGATCTGTTGTAATAAAAGTCAATTCTTCTCCACTTGTAAGTTTTTTTGTATTTGTAGGTATGTGTGTAACTTTTTTCCTTCTCACTTGATTTTGTAGCTGCAAAATCCTACATCGAATCCTATAAATGAATCTCAGAGTCTCTAAAGTTAACGTGACCTTACTTGTGCTCAGGTTATTCCTCTTACTTACAGCAGTCCCCTGTCTGCAAATAGGAGAACTTCAAATCTAGAGGACTCTAAGTAACCCCACTACTATTAATATTGACTAATGACATGTGATTTCCAGTAAGAAAACTCTAAAGGTCAAACACCAAAAATGTTTGCACTATCCTCTCTATCGTCTCCCCTGAGATTGTCACTGTTGCTCAAGTAAATGGACTACAAGGAAAAGATGAAAACTTGTGGAGGACAAAGAGCGCATGATGTGTCAGCCTCAGATAACAAACTCACTGCTGTGAACAAAAACAAGAACCAATTCTCCAGCATCGGTGGGATAGTGCCAAGAAATTAGAATGCAAGTGGTGACATCCAGCATGAAAGAAATCATTTTTGAGATACGAGGTAGTGGAACATGATTAAATTAGATGGTTAAAGTTTACACCAGGGATGTCAAACATAAGACCTGGGTTCCAGAACTTGTCCGCCAAAAACTGGCCCACTGGACTGCTTTGGAAAATGTGAAGGAAGGGATCAATTTTAGACTTTTAATTGTTTTATAGCTTTTCTAATGGATAAAGACTTTCCCATTGCCATTCATACTACACGAAAGTAAGAAACAGAACAATTAAATAACAGTAAGTTCCTGTTTTTCATTATCGGCTCTCAAAAGTTTACAAAAAAGGAACTTATTCTCCTTTATCGACCAAGATTTATACAGGCCTAATGACTTATTTTTGAAGTTTGGCTTTAAAATAAAAAAAAGTAATTCTCATCTTTCGGTAACCATTTGAATAGGTGCAGATTATTTTTTTCTTTCCATGTTGAGACAGCAGTACCTTATGCCCCCGTAATAAACCAAATCTCCTTGTAAAGCTCGTCTTCTCCCCTTTCTGTAACTGTTTAAACTTTGTCTCTAGCATAAACATTAACGTGGTAAATAAAGGGTTAACAATTTTTTTTTTATCATAATTACAAGAAAGTGTGTGCAATGAGCTTAAGGAACTTTTTTTGTAATTATGCATTTAAAAGTTTCGTGCTAACAGATTTTTATCATTTCGTACAGCAGCGTTTCTTTGTCATATAGACAAAATTGAGAGGTTAAGAGGCTGCAATCAGACTCCTTTTTCTTATATTAAAATATATGAGGGATTCAAAGTGTAGTTAAACTTCTTTACACTGACAGAATGGGTAGTTTCTCTTAAGGTCAAAGTCGACTATACCATGTAAAATGTGGCATCCATGGTCTTTTCACGCAATATATTAATTTTTTTTATTTAAATGTAATTCAGAGTATTTTGTGGTTTGCGATGTCTTATAAAACTGTAAATAATGACTACAAGGCAATAAAAAATATTACTACTATTAGTGGTAAAACTGTTTCTAAACTACAAATTCAGTTGTGAAAAGACTGATAAATTGCTTGTGCCCAAAATGTATTTATACTGTTAATATATGAGTCGGTGTCTTTCTATATGTTACAATCCATCTTCAACAAACAGTAACACATGTGTAGAAGAAAAGAGCAGAAAATAGTTCGACAAAGAAGAAGACAGAAACGGACTTCGATATTAGGTAAAACCTTTTCAAGGGTTCAATGTTTTTTCATAACATGCAACACAGAATAGCCAATTCAAAAATGTAAGTAAACCAGCTTGAGATGATTTGAGTTTTTAGGCATGTGTGTTATCCTACTGGAAGATGGGTACACTATAGTCATGAAGAGATGAACATGGTCAGCAACAATACTCAGGTAGGCTGTGGTATTTAGACGATGCTCAGTTGGTGCTAGGTGGCCCAAAGTCTGCCAAGAAAATATCTCCCAGACCATTACACCAGCAGCAGCTTGAACTGTTGACACAAGGCAGATTGGATCCATGCTTTCATGTTTACCCCAAATTTTGATCTTAATATCGTAGCAAAAATCAAGAATCAACAATGAAAGTTTCCAATTTTGGTGAACCTGTGTGAACTGGAACCTGTGTGCTTATTGTACGGTGTGGTCTTTAGCTGCTGAGGCCCATCTGCTTCAAGCTTCAATGTGCTGTGAGTTCAGAGATCAGAGCCATCAGATCAGCAGTTTCTGAAATAGCCTGTCTACCATCCACAACCATGCCCCAATTGAAGTCACCTTCTTTCCTCATTCTAATGCTCAGTTTGTACTTCAGCAGGTTGTCTTGATCATGTCTACGTGCCTAAATGCACTCCCATGCGACTGGCTGATTAGATTTTTGTACTCGCAGTTAGAGATTTAAACTGAGATACAGTTGAAAAGGAAGTAGAAGAGGTCTGTATGTTTTTTTAAAAATATAACACTAAACAATTTCATAAAATTGATTTGATTAATCTATATTTATTACACTTTATTTCAACTCTATACTGTATTAGCAGTAACAGGACTGTTACAACTTTAACTTTAATATCCATAATTTAGACGTCTTGAAGTGTTGCTTCATAGTTTTAAGTCATTCTAGTTACAATACACAACTGGCTTTAAGGAAGTGGAGCCAGATTGTATTAACTAGAATCTGTTCATAGACCATCGGTGAGGATGTGATTCTTTGTGCTCAGCACTTTCCGCCGAAGAGAGATCATTAAAATTCCCACCACTAAAAGTAGGATGTGTTACTTCCTTTTTAACTTTGTGCTCATTGGTGATGTGGCTTTCCCCAGCCTATCCCAGCTGTCATGGGGTTAACACTCAGAGACAGACAGCTATTCATGCTGGCATTTACAACTATGACCAATTTTGAACAATCAATTAAAAAAACACGCATGCTAGGTTAATTGGAAGGAAGATGGAGAGAACCCATGGAGGCATAGAGAGAAAATGCAAACTCCAATGTCCCTACTGTCCCCTTTAAAATAAACCTTTAGTTATACCATTTCGTTGCAGACAGGCATATTGATTAGACTGACCTGGAACTCCTGCCTGCATCCATGGTGAGATGTCTGTCCCTTCACCGTGGGCCTCGAGTTTGGTTGTATTAATGGGAGCCAAAAGTTTGACCACTTCTTCCATCACCTGTCGAGATGGAAAAAGACACAGGAAATTATCTTTATATAACTATTATGACAATATTATGATTGTAATTTCTAGATTTGAGCACTACTGGAACATTCAGTGACAACGTACAGATGTTTTGGTTCCACATTAACATGATAGATGCTGTGGTTCCTACTACTTCCTTTTTACATGTAAATATATGGAACCTTTACAGACTTTAATGAAAAAACAAGTACATTTACTGGACAAGATGCTATTTTCATGTCAGTTTGCAAAATCTGTGTGCGGCAGAATTCACAATCTAATACCACTATTTTCGTTAAATAGTTGGGTTTTAATATCACCTTTTGTGCTGCATCACTGCCTGTAAATTGCAGGCCAATGGGGGTGAATGTCCCCAAGTCGGACTCCATGACAAGGTCAAAGTTGGACATGTTTACCTGTGTGCAGAGAGGACGCAAAAAGGGGGAACATGTCATGATCAGAGATAAAAGGTGAAAGAAAGCAAACCGAACCAAAGTACTCGCAAACAAAGCATACACACTCAGCCAGCCACTATAAGTACCTTGAGCAGCTGCCTTAACTAATTTAGGCAATTTAAAATGTAATTATACATCAAATGTAAGAACTGGACCAGTCCCACGGGCAGTTATGGTACACTGGTGTTTCTGGTTTTTAAAACGCAGTATATTACAGGTCAGGGCCTGGTGTGCAGCAAGAACTCCAAAGAAGGAAATTGTAAGACTCCAGATTCTTATTTAGATCCTTTGCACAGGAAAAACATGGAAGCTAGCCAAGTCCCTTCAGTGTGGAGGAAGTGCCTTTTTAAACTGCCTTTTCACAGTTGTGACCCTTCCTGCTTTTTGGGCAGCTGGAATAACATTGGCTCAGTGCTTGTTTTCTACTGATTGGCACGGTAACAGCAGACAGTACCTTGTGTAGATTAAAGTATTGCTGTGCTCCGACTCCGCCCTGTTCCTCGGCTGTCCACAGCACTGTTCGCAAAGTTCTCCTTGGACGCAGACCTACAAAGAGATGAAGACACATACACAGTATAGAAAGAGGAGGATAACGGCTCCAAATATTAATAATGACATTTTTCTTTTCTTTTTTTTTTTTGTTGAATAAAAGGTCTTTGTAGTCTTTGTTTGATGACCCAGTCCTTGTCCAAGGCTCATTCAAGTAAATTGTCCACAAAAATACTGTACTTTATATGCAGGTCTGCCTCCTGTTGTAGTTGTGTGTATTTTGTTCCTCTGCAAACACTGGGGTGAAATTACTGTTTACAGTCAGAGGATTTGTTTTTCATTTTGTCCCTGTGTTTAGAACTGGAAACTTTAGCTCCACTTAATGATCTTTTTTTTAAAATTGGTCTCAGTATCGCCACTGCTGGTTATTCTGATTGTTTCCTTTCTTTTTAATGAACACATTCACTTATTCTAATAGAATTATTAGATTTCATAGTAATTTTGCGACTCAAATAAATAAAAATAAACAGAGGATGCTCTGCTAATCCAGCGTAAAATGTTTTAGATTAATAACATGAATAGGTACGTTTGCCATCTCCTTTTTCTGATTAACATTTAAGCAAAACTAATAAACTTGAGCTTTTATTGCATTCTACAATATGCACATGTTATCATTGCTGAAGTTTATCTGTGATTTACTTTAAGTATTTCTCTGTATATTACCAAGGTCTTTGATGAGTGACAGGGCCTCCCAGGAAATCATGGCTCCGCCTCCGTCATCCATGGCACCCTGGCCCACATCCCAGCTGTCCAAATGTCCGCTCAGTAAGACAACCTAGAGAGATTGTACAGATAAAGAGAAAATGTGTAAACAAGAAACAGAGGAGCAAATCTGAGGAAACAGATAGGACGACAGTGCTGCCCATATCCTGTTGACTTTTTATTAATGTAGACACACATAGTTAAAAGTCCAGTTAATTTGATTCTTTTTTTAACAATAAAAAGGTTTGTATCAGCAGGAAAAGTGAGATTCATTTAAAAAAAAAAAAAAAAACAAAGAAAAAGATGAGAGCACACGGGTCAGTGTATCTGTACTCACAGGAATTTCCAAGATTCCTGTCAGTGGGATGTAGATGAGCCGTTGTTCAAGGTTGCAAAACATTTTCTGACCTGATCTAGCCCTGTCCGTGCAATGACCCAGAGTCTGCACATTCCCGTAAAAACCAATGTGTTTTTTTTTCCACAGTGTTTGCTTTCTTATGTAACTGAAATGGTAATATATGCCAATGTGTTGGTTAGTCGCCCATTTGATTCCAGACTGAGATGTCTAAACTATAACATTGGAATGTGATTATTTCCAGATACAGATGTTTCTCACAGAACGCTTTGCAGTAATTAATTTTTTTTCTCCTAAGTAAGTTTAAACTGGGGAGTCTAAATTATAGTATCTACTTAGCAAAGGAAAAGTGTAAGGAGTTTACCTTTATTAATACTGGTAACATCACTATTTGTGAATGATGCATAAATAGTGAGAAGTTCCACCCTCTTTTAATTCATACGTTTTCATGTAGAAAAGATTCAGACTAGATGAAACAGCAGTGTGTGAAAAATTAAGTTCACCTTTACTGCTTCCAAGAGTTTAAGTAGCAGCCAGCTGCTGCTAATCAAATGCACTTGATTAATTTCTCATCAGCAAGTGTGAGCACCGGTATAAAACAAAGTTACAGAGTAAAGATATCAGCAATGTCTGAGAGAAGAAACCACTGCTGTCTATCAATCTGGGAAGGGCTATGAGGCCATTTCCCAAAAACAGTGTACAGTGAGAAATACTATGCATATTTATCCCAGCAAATTCATCCCAAGGTCAGACCATGCAGTGCTCAAAAAAAGAAGAAGATTAAACAAGTATGACTAGTTTTTGGAAGAGGTTCCAGGAGGGGTTAAATTCCTCCATATGTGAAAGACTGATAAAGTCATACATGAAATATTTAATTCAATTCAATTCAATTTTATTTATACAGCGCCAATCCACAACAACAGTCACCTCGAGGCACTTTATATTGCTAGGTAACAATAACACACAGAGAAAAACCCAACAATAAAAATGACCTCTTATGAGCAGGCACTTTGGCAACAGTGGGAAGGAAAAACTCCCTTTTAACAGGAAGTAAGCAAGCAAGTAAGCAGAACCAGGCTCAGGGCCGGCCATCTGCAGCGACCAGTTGGGGAGAGAAGGAAGACAGGATAAAAGACATGCTGTGGAAGAGAGCCAGAGATTAATAGCAGTGCAATCAATGCAGAGAGGTCTATTCACACATAGTGAGTGAGAAAGGTGATTGAAGAAGAAGTACTGGGAATCCCCCAGCTGCCTACACCTATTGCAGCATAACTAAGGGAGCATTCAGGGTCACCTGATCCAGCCAACTATATGCTATATGCTTTAGCAAAAAGGAAAGTTTTAAGCCTGATCTTAAAAGTAGAGATAGTGTCTGTTTCCCGAATCCAAATTGTAAGCTGGTTCCACAGAAGAGGGGCCTGAAAGCTCAAGGCTCTGCCTCCCATACTCTAGGAAAAACAAGTCCAGAGTCCCCCAGTCCAAGAGAGAAGAGCTCTAATGGGGTGATATGGTGATACTATAAGGTCATTGGGACTGGTTATTCAAGACAAGGATTTTGAATTAAATTCTGGATTTAACAGGAGCCCAGATATATTTACTGTTTCACACAAACTCCTCATTTATGGGAGCACTGTCATCCTAGAAGGGGATCACTCCCATCAAGTGACTCACTACAACAGTGATGCTCCCATCCAAGGAGGCAAGTGGGCCCATTCCATTACAGCATAATATTCCCACGCTGTAGTTCTCAAGTATTTGCAAATACATTACATTAGTAAAGAGGCCAGTCCAGCAGCGAGCCTGGTTTCACATTAACAGAATCATATACAGCCAGTTCATCCCAGGTTACAAACTGCATGAGGGATTTTGCAGTCAAGTCGTCTCTGCATTTAAACCATTCTTATAAACACACAGATTTGGGTCACCAATAGCACTGAAACATCAGGACATTTGTATATAAAATGAAACCTCAAAATGTGGATTTATTTTTCTATTGTACTGTAATTTTTACATTGGTTACACTCAGAAAAATAATCCTGCTCCTGTTAACTTGATATTATATTTATATACACTCAGCCACTTGGTTAGTTTTGCTATGACTCTGTTTAAAGCCTGATTGTACATTGTGGCCATAGCAGAGACCGCATAATGTGCTTTGGTTAAAAGTGTAAATTATAAGAGACCACAAATGTATTTTTTTAATGATTCATTGTGGTGTATGTAATATCCAAGCATGTTTTCCCCAACAAAGAGAGGCTAACATTTACAGTCAGTTCAGAAATCATTCATACCACATTTAATATTTGAAAGCTTAAAACTTTTTTGTGTGGGAATGACTCATTCAGCCCCAAATGTACATCTTCTAATGAACACACACACACACACACACACACACACGCACATACACAATATGTCAGCCGCGATAACTGCTACTGCAAGAGCACAAAGTCACAGGGCCAGAGATGATGTCAGCCATGTCATGTGTTTCATTTCCCTTTCTATAATAAAGCTCCAAATGCTGGTTCCTATATCAGAATAGTAAAAGCTTACATCAGCGCTCTGGTTCAAGAGTCCTGACGGATTTTACCTTGGACTTTGCATTTAGGATGTGAACTTTTCAAACTGTTAAAGGGGGGAGGCTTGCATTTGTGAGGGAGTCAAAGTTTACACAGATATAGTTCATATAACCCACATTAGTGGGAAATTTTCAAGAACAAACATTGTATACCATCATATACCTTCATCTGCCAACAAAGCAGATATTGCACACACACTTCCTTAACAACAACAGTAACATCCGCATACCAGGCAACCTCTACAAATATACAGTATACACCAGGGTTATCAGATGCCACTATGGAAATTTCACACAGAGCGTGATAAACTGAGGTGCAAAATTCAGTGTAGTCAAATTGAACAAGACACCCCCCCCCATTTCCCTGCATGTTTGTTCCACACACCTTTCATCATTTGTCTTTGCAAATAACTGCTACTATAATTTACATACCCGCTCAGCTATTTAGGACATGTTGGTTTAACCCAACATGAGCTGCCTTGTGTGAATGTACAAACTCCAAACTCCAAACAGTTACTTCCAGTACGCCAAGATAAATCTGTCCCTTTCGTTTTAACTGCAAACTGTTATGTTCTCTGACCTTTTGGCCTCTTGGTGAAAGAGAGCTGCTCTCTCCCTATCCAGTTCCAGGTCTCCCACACAGCATTTTGCTCATTTAAGTAACTGCCTATACGGCTCCAGCAGCCAGCGCTCCTCACTGTTTGGCCACTGGGCTCTAAGATGTGTGGTTGCTGGAGCTGTGCTGTTCAGTGTAACCTAAAGTGATCTTTGGAGTTGAACTGTGGCAAGCCTGTGGGACCTGTCATGCTCTGTTGCTCTGTGTTTTAAGGAAACCAATCTGTATGTTAGTGGAAGTTTGGTAAGGGTTTGCTGTCCTTTTATGTACACAACTGTTCTCCTGTTTTGTGGCCAGCCAGAGCACTTGGGCATTGTATTTTTGTTTCAACACATAGCTCAGTGTTTCTTCTCATTCTAGTAAGAATGGGGGATTTTACTTGCTTTGGCCCTAGAACCCCTGGTGTCTATTTGCTTTCCTTTTTCTACTTAATTTAATATTGTAAGATAGTTGTAAATAAATTCTTTGTTTCCTATTCAGTAATCTTTCTTGGAGATTTATGGTTATGTTACAACTCAGCTTCTAGGTGAGGCGTTGTAACACAAACTCAAATATATTTACATACATCATGTACATGGCGCTGAGCATGCCTCTAAGCCCATTTAGCACTAAAGCCCAGAAACCTTGGGTAGTATTTCCAGGGGACTCTAAAAATATCTCCTCTAAAAACTGTATTTGCATACACTGAGGTTTCTGCAGGAGCACATAATCTATTCATCAGGTTCTACCTGTTAGATGTGTCATAAATACAAAGCACCTGCAGTGAACTGAAAAGGTATACTCTGCAGTTCAGTAGGTAGTAATTTAGTCCGCTCATAGGCTTAGAGTTAAAGCAAGCCATAGTTTGTCATCTCGTTCTGTTCTTGACAGTCTGATATTGAAAAGGTTTGCTACTTAAAACTGTGAGTTTGCGTTCCCTTTGTGAAGTAACAACCTTACATATAATCCATACTGGAATAATATGATATTTATATCCGCAACTAATATGCTTCATGTAAACTGAGTAGTTGCAGTTTGCAGTTTTATGCATTATATTACCTTAAAAAATACTGTGAGTAGTAAAAAGCTTGGTTACATTTAGCTGAGTTGAACTGATCAACTATAAATTTTATTTTTTTATGGTCAAAATGTTATAATTGGGTTACGAGGCAAATGAGAAGAGAAAAGAAAATAATCATTTATACTTACCAGAATATCTCTGGTAAGAATACCTCAAGGTGCTTTGTATTGTAAGATAAAGACCCCACAATATTACAAAAACAACCCCCTATGAGCAAGCACTTGTTACAGTGGGAAGGAAAAACTCCCTTTTAACAGGAAGAAACCTTTGGCACAACCAGTGGTGGATATCTGCTGTGACGGGTTGGGGGTGGTTACTGTATTGTTTAAATAATGCAGTGTTCTCATGAAAGCCTATTTTATACTGGTTCCTGGAAAGATTAAATCACATAAGCAAACACAAAATACAGGCAGAGTTAAGGGCTGTCGGAATATCTTCAGTCAGCAAAAACAGCCCAGACTATTATTTCCTTCTCCACCGAGCTAAGATAAAACTGGAAATAACTAAGAAGGAGATTTAAAAAAGGATTATTGGGACATCTGATTTCCTTGTGGTTTATGCGTAACATCCGACAAAACGGATTTACTGTAATATCAAAGTGGAAACTAGACAAATAATAGATGAGATAAATTTGTCAAACATGCATATCTATGTTATGAGTGAGTGAAAGCTACCTGCTCAGGGTGTTGCCAGCCTTTTATCTCAGCCACCGTGTTGAAAGAGTCAGCATCAGGAAGGGTCTTGGCTCCCATGGTGAATTTAACCACAATTTTCTGACCTCTTTGTGCCATACGCCACATCAGCTCAGCATCCTCCACAGTGATGCAGGCTGTGGGGATGCGCTTCACTCCATCTTGGTAGTCCTGCCAGCCTGTGTGGGGACTACACAGGAAGTGATAAAGACAGAGATGTATGTAATATACCAGTGATAAAGTGACACTACAACATTTCTAGACAGTCAGATAGCTGGACACTTGGAGAAGATAGATATACCTGTTAATAGAGAATGGAGTGACTGATCGAATGAGTGTAGCCACAGCTCCTACTTTGGCTGCCTCAGAGGCACCATAAGCACGGTATGCCACTGTCTCTCCATAGCTAACATATGGCTGGTTAAAAACCACAATCCTTCCTGCGGCCTCACTGGCTCGACGCTTCAGTTCCTCAAAAGACTGAACTACCAACACCTCTGCCTCAATACCTACAGGAATAACAATCAATCAGTGAGCAGTAAAGGAGAAACAGATGAAATGAAAGCTGTTTTATACGACTATGGTCTTTACCTTCAGGGGGTGTTCCTACGCTGCTACCCAATCCCAGTATAGCCAGAGTCTTGGCTCGAGGAGCAGTCATCTCTGCACTCTCCTTCCCCCGTACCCAGTGTGGGATTTTTACTGGCTCTAGATAAGACAATTAAACTATGTTTATATTCACCAGAAATCAGCTAGAGTTCCCGTACGTTCTGAAACACATGTTGGATAAAAACTGTAAAACTTACCCAGGTGTACATCCAACCCATCCTGCACCATGGCATTGTACATGTATTTAATAGCCATCTCCAAGTTGTTTGAGCCACTGACGCGGTTTCCTATAGTGTCAGTAAAGTCTGCGAGCCGTCTGTAAGAGCGGTTCTGGGCAGCACCGAACACAGCCAGGTCAATGATCTGTTTGGCCACATCAGCATAGCCTGCTACCTCAGCTGCAACCCCAGCTGGGATCATGCAGAGACACACAACAAGAACATATCAAAACACTGTAAAGGCTTGCAAAGACTGTTCCCGTTCCACCAGTTAGTTCAGGTACAATGTTTTCATTGTAACTCAGTACATAAATCCCAACATTAAACTGATCAAAGGATCCAAAGTAACTGGAAAAAAATGCATGGGTACAGAAGGCATTTATTAGCATTAATTATAAACTGGTTGTTTTAATAAAGGCCTTACTCTCTCAGAGTTTGGGTTACCTCTCTTTGCAGTATCATTGGATAAGACTCTGACAGCAGATCCTGAATTTATAGTTTGTGCAGAGTGGGGATGACCATCACAGAAAGAGGATAGGTTGAGAAACACATTGAGGGAGAGGAGGATACATAGTGTCCCCTTCCAAGTCATCTGTAAAAAGAAAATATCAGTGTGTTGTTGTCAGTTGATGTTAAATTGCTACTAAATCCTCCTTAAACCGCACACACACTGCAAGTATCCTCTCATCTTAGTACGAACTAAAAAGCAAACATGCATCACCCCTGCTAACACAGTTAATCTAGCAGATATGATTCAAACAGGCAATTCACAAAGACACTTACTTTGCACTACAGCAGGTATTTTCTATTTTTGATATGCGAGTGTGTATATGTAAATGTATAGGCATGTGTTTGCATATGTATATGCAGTTGTGGTATAAAAAGCAGGCATAAATTAATCGTAGTTTTGGGCTTTTAATTGTTTTTTTCAACTGTGCTTTTTTCATAGTGCAATGATTGCACAAGAATTTGGTTGAATTTATTTTGGATTTTCTCTAATCCACGCAGGGCCAAAAACAAATATACAGGCTCTACAGTGTACTTTAACTTGACCGGGCCAATGCCTATTAACTTCTCATTAGTTATCATGATTGACTTCAAATTTTGCTTTCTCTTTGCAACAATAGAACCACTAAACTACCAGCATGACTGTGAAGTAAGGTTTTACATTGCCATGGACCGAGAGGGTACCAACTAAGAAAAATGCTCCAAAATCAACATCTTCAAGCTCAACTTAGATTTGCAGTTGCCCACATGGACAAGCCAAATTCCTTCTGGAGAAAAGTTTTATGGTCAGACGAGACAAAGATTGAGCTGTTTGGCAACAATGACCTAAGAACACTTTACTAGCTGTGAAGCACGATGGTTGTAGCGTCATACTCTGGGCTGTTGTTCGTGATTACCAAAACGACTACCATCCGGTCAAGGTGTGACTTGCTAAGGGACATTTAACTAAACCTGTATGTATACTTTTTAGCCCATGTGGATTAGAGAAAATCAAAAATAATTTAATACTTGTGCACCCATTTCTTGTTTTTTTTAACCAATTACCATGAAATTTGTCCCCAAGATGATGTATATGTGTAAATACCTATTTTTGGTATGTTACTGGGTTTATAAAACCAAATATATGCGGCAAATTTTAAACAAGGAATTATGATAGGAAAGGACATAAACAGGAAGTAAAGTGATAATTACAAAACAGTGGAGAAAGGGTGGTATTAAATAAGTTTATGCTTATTCCTACTCCTTTTTTTCAATATGTTAAGCCATGTATTTTTGTATGCTTTTTGCATATATTTTTTAGATATTCGAAATTAAGCCTTAAGCAAGAAAAGCTACGCTACCTACTATTTTACAGTACTACACTATACGTGAATGGCGTTTTATTGGAAACGTTACGCTATCCCCAGTTATAGTTTTACTTTCACTTTAGGACATTACAATTATACATTATTTCTTAGTAAATGTAGCTGGACACCACAATTGTTAAATTATCATATTAACACAGACGGCTTCATTCTCATTTTAAAAAACAAACACGATATATAAAAAAGTATTGCAACACAGACGAATAGAGAAGGACAGAAACGTTACAGCGGTTTAAACATTTCACAGTAACAATGAGCGCAAAAAGCGCTTCTCCATAACAGCACAAACCCTTCGAGTCAATTCAAAGTCTTTGGTTTTGTTGACGTTGCAGGACTTCGTCCAATTTTAAGGATATGCCAAATACACAAATACCGCAACGTAAACAGTTCCGTACTCGTGATTACAACCTGCATAGCGCACTTCCGGTTTGTCTTATTTCAAAATAAGAGCGTCATGCTTACTATAACAATAGTTTTGTTATGCAGGTATTAAAAAATGGTTACACACACACAAACACACACAAACACACAAACAATAAACCACACCCAGCCCCCCACTCTCCCGTTTTCCCCTCACAAAACTAAAATAATTCAATGAAACCGATTAGTATGCAACAACTGGAAATTAATAGTTACAATAGTTCATACAAAACGATTTTTGTTAAAATTACCCCTCATAAGTAGCATAGTCTATTCACATTATGGACATTATTACTATTATACTCACCAAGCTTTCAAATATGTAAAATATGTCGGACATACAAAGATTAAGGAACTCATCACAGACTCTCATGGCCAGCTCTTCCACATAGAACACTTATAATCAGTGTTTCGGTTCACAATTGACCTGCCGTTCAGCTGTGCACAAATGATACCTTTCATGAGTAACTAACACACAACAATAAATATTATGTTCCAGCATAAATCAGTGTTTAAGTACCCAAACCTGCAATTGCACATTATTCCAAAACTGACATTTCAAAAAAGATGCTCTATTTGTCTGTGAAGCTTTTGAGAAAGCTTTGTCTACCTTTCTTTAACATGTGTTACAGGCTGTTTTGGGTTCACATCTGACCTGCTGTTCAACAATTTGAAGAAGAAATTGAAAGTTTACACACAGAAAAATACCACTACTGAATGAAACAACACAGCTGTATAGAAGAAGTGTATCAATCTCACTTTTGGTATTAAGTCAAGAAAAAGGAACTGCCTATTTAGAAACTATTTAAAACCAAATGCTAAATCACGCACTTCTTTTTATGAGTCTTCTCTTAGTCATCCTTCCTTTTTGCAAACAATGTTATGGTTAAAATGATGCCCAGTGCTAACAGTGTATTGTGTGCACACTGTGGGAAACACAGCACATCTCAATCTGTGGTTTTTATTTCTCATCTTCCCCTCCCACTGATCTTCTGCATTCCTCACCAGTCATAGATATTCACATCAAGTACCCCACCCATGTCAGATTCATATTAATTTATTTTATCACACTTTACTACCACTTTTATGCTATTAACTTATGTGCATGGCTCTACTTTCTATTCCTGCTTCTTTTCTACTACAGCCATCTTCTGTATACATAAAAAAAAAACAACCTTTTGTGCATCCACATGTTCTCCTTTTGTTTCTGAAGATCTTTAAAAACATCTGACCATATGACTCATTTCACATGCTGCTTACCAGGTTTGATATTGCAAACCTTTTTCTCACTTTTGCCTGCCTTTGTAAAAGGATGTTTGTTGAGACTTGATGGAAATGCTTTGCTCTACATTTCAGATCAGCTGAACAAAAGCAACAAATAATAGCTTTTACTTGCAGCTGAATGTTCACTTTTTGGTTTTGTCTCACACAATAAAAACAAAATGCAAATCTGTGATAACACGTGGGCTTCAAAATGATGCCCAGAAGGTGCTTAATTAACAAATAAACACAAAGATCGTGACCTTGAAGAAGATTTTAAGAGCACACATAATATTAAACCTGTCGTGTTGATGTGTGTATATGGGGAGATGGGGCAGTATTGTTGAGAGACAGAGAAAAAACAGCCACTGCATTAAAGCCACAACTTTTATTCATTAGTGAACCTCATGAGATACACCAGCAACAAAGTTCTCTATTGGTCATCTTGGTAAGTTGATAATTGGCTGGTCCTCATACCTGTGTAGTTTATTTCTAAGAAGCAGGATTTCAGTCAGCTTCGATAAAAAATAAAACTGCAACATGTCTCCAATAAACTTTCTGTACTTTTATAATTTTTAGAAGCATTCATAAAGAAAAAGGACTTCTTTTTTAAAAAGATGCTAGAAAATCTTTTAAAGAAATTGACAATAATCTAAAGCTCATCAAATGCACCAAGATACAAATAGGCATATAAAACTCAAGCTGAAGGCACAAAGAGGCTTCAACCACCAGTAAATACTGTACAATCCCAATAATGACGGACATATTTACCTACATTGTAGTCTAATTAAGTATAAATTATGAAAATCATCTCTTTTATATATAATGCATGTAGATGATAGAAGAGAAAAGTTATTTTGTCTTTGCCAACAAGTGCTAACCTGTGGTATTAACCCTCTGGGTTTGTTTTTGTTTCACACAGAAGTTGTTCAACCACACTGGCATAGTAGATTTTAACTCCAAACTTGCAGTTCTGTACAGCTCACAGTTCAAAGTATGAAACTAATACTTCAACCGCACTGCAAAGCAAAGGATATAATGTAACATGAGGCACTGAAGACTCAACAAATGTCACGTTATCAACAAAGAGTCACCGAGGTGGGTTAATGACTACATCTTCCTGTTTATTCTATGCACAGTGAATAGGTAGCTTGCAAATGCATTCAAATGTACTACTTGCTTTAAAATATTCATTTTTATTATGACAAACAGTAAGCAGTGTTCTTTGAACCATTACAGGCAGTAGGTAGCTGGTTAAAAAGCCATAAAAAGGCAAATTCCTAATACGTTTATGAAAAGGGTCTACACACTTATGTGCTGTCGAAAGGGAATAGAACCCTGTTGTCGTTATCTGCTTTGTGCATCTTCATTGGAGCCATAAAACATGCTATGCTGCTCTTGTTGCTTGAGGTAAAGTCTGAAAATCAGGAAATACATGTGTCAAACAAAGCACGTTTACGCTTAAAAGAAACAGATTAGAGTTAAACAGACACAATTAACAACTCTCTAACCCTGCTAAGTTGATAAACTCTAAAGTGTAAAAGAGCAGTAAATGCTCTCACTGGCCTTTAAACCTTGAACCAACTATTATAGCTGTATACAGAGGACAGCGAGAAAGGAATGCGCTTTGGCTGTTGTCAGAAAACCTTGATCGCTTCTATGGTTTCTGAATTATAGTCATTAGCTTTGACTCCACCTGTCCACACGCTTGCAGCACTCAGTCACCAAAACCCCCCCAAAAGTCCTGAACATATTACATGTGTTCTAAAGATGCCTGAGGGAGTTTTACTAAGGCTGCCACACTGTATGAAGTCAAAGACAAATTGCTTAAAAATGGCTTACAGAAATATAATCTCTAAACATAAAAAAAAACTACCACAAATTTTTATTTTTTTTACAAACAACAAAGCGTATCTATATTTGGTCAGTTCTGTAAGTGCCTGTGTGACAACAACAAATGTTTGTACCTGCAAAGTAACAAAATCTCTCAATGCAATACTGGGCAGCATATGAAAATGTTCATTCATGTAACCCCCCCTCCCCCGCCCCGCACAAAAACCAAAACAAATCAAAAAAAGCATACAGAAAGTAAAAAGAAGCACAGACAGTTTTTAACACAGAAAAAACAAAACACAAAAACACAATCTGACCTCAGAGGACAGAAAAAAAAAGTGTCAACTTTTTAAGGTCCATCTTAATACTATTCTTATACAGAATATAGTACCAGGCTGAACTGGGCTGGTTCAGCGTACATCCATCCAAAGGAGCAATCAATTTCTGGGTCACACAGAATCAGCTCTTGTCCAGCGTAGTTCATCTTAGGTCTAAAGGCACAGCGTCGGACCGTTTCACACTGACGACTCGCCAACACTACAACGATCCACTTCAGGATTTCATTCTTAAAACTTTGAATGGGTATTTACTCCTTCCTTAGCATGGGATGACAGGAAAGCATTTTAACAGTTTGACTTTATTTTATTATGACCCCTTTGTCACAAACACTGAACATTAAGTAGAAAGATAAAGTGGCAGCGGATGAAGTTGGGAATGGCGAAGAAAAAAAAAAAAAAAGACAGAACAAAGAAGCAGCACTGGAGAGGAGCAGAGGTGTCAACTTCAAACTTCATCAAGAAGAATCATCTTCAGCTGGTTATAGATCCATTTGAGTCTTAATAGGCAGGAGCCAAAATCCACCCTGCTTTGTTCTTATTAGTCAGTTCAGGCGTAGAACTCCTTGGTGGGTGCTTTGTGATATGCAGTTGCAGAAAGTTTGTTATCTCCCAGGTCGTAGCTACCTTCATCCTTCTTCTTCATGCGGTAGGCAAGGAGAGACAAGAGGGAAACAGCACAGAGGAATCCAATGACTCCGCACACTATCACAGCTGGAGACGGAAAAAAGAAATACGAAATTATTTTTAAAAAATAACATTTTTATAACAGTTATCTATACTTAACATTTCAGATTCTTCAACAGAAGTCTAAATTTTCTTGAAAACTCACTACTGTAATTTTGTAATGAACTGGTAAGAGTGTAGAAACCTAGTCCTTACCTGCTAGCACCTCTTTTCTCTCCAGCAGGTTCTCAGAGGATACCTCCATAGAGTTCTCACCAAATAATCCTTCTCGATCAGCTTTGTTAAGAGTTTCATCAGACTTTTTGATAGGCTCTTCATATTGGGGATTTAACACATCCAGGCGTCTCTCCTTGCCAGAATTGATTACACCATCAGCTCTAGTACTGCCACTGGGAGGCACATTGGTGGTGCTGGGACTAGCATCCTTTCCAAACCAGTCAGCTGTTGGGCCAACACCAAGCCCCTATAAGGATATTAGCACAGTTAAAAAAAATGCTGAGACATTATGTGGCTTTAGATACTTTCCATTTATCACTATTCACACCTTAAAGCGGTAGCAATTAAATCACAATTAGTTTCTCTGCTCCAAAATTAATCAACCTTAATATTTACTCTCACTATCACCAATTGAAATTAAAAGAATAAATATCCTTGTGTGTGCGATGAATCATCCTGAAGATGGACATAAGTCAGACTTCATGAGGACATGAATCAAAAGGAACAGTCATACTTTACCTTGTCTCCATCAGGGAAAATGTCAGTCTCCTTCGCTGTAGTTGCTGGATCGTGGCTGCGTGCCACTGTGGTTGGTGGGTTGTCTGGAGAGTGTACTGTAGGCTGTGGTTGACGCTGCTCTGTTTTGCTAGAGGGGCTAGGCAACGTCAGGACCA